TTAGATTCAACAGAAGTCCAGAAATAACCTCAAACACTCTAAGAACCCTCTTGACATTCAAAATCTGCATCTTCGAAGCACCACAAATTATGAGGTCATCGGCAAATTGCAAATGAGTTAAGTTCATTGACCCCTCCTCCTACGTATTACCAATCCAGAAACAACCCTTCAGAAACTGCCTTTAGAAGTAGTAAAATTAAGTTCCCCTACTAAATTGAACAGTGGAGACAGAGAACAACCTTGACGAGACTCTTTGCCTTTGGGAATTCTTCAGAGGGAACCCCATTGACCAATATGACACAGGCTGTAGTTACACATTTCCTTATCCAGCCACTCCATCTGGAACCAAGCCCATCTTCTCCATAACTTTAAACAGAATAGGTCAACCAACTGTATCATAAGCCTTCTTGAAGTCCACTTTAAAAACACAACCCTTGAGTCATTTCTCCTCAAAAATCAATTCCCTCATTAGCATAAGATAGCAGTCCAAAATTTGACGACCAGTATGAAAGCGAATTGTGTGGAACTGATGATGTCTTCGATGCAACTTCTTAACCTCCTCGGAAGACATTTAGATAGGATCTTATACAACACTCCTACTAAGCTAATAGGTCTATAGTCATCCAAACCACCAATGATGGAGGTCTTCGGAATGAGAGTGATGAAAGTGTGATTAATGCCATGTTCCCAATCTTTCCCCACGTAGAAATTGTGAAAAAAATTCAGAATGTCTTCCTTTAGGACAAACCAGAACCTTTTGAAAAAACCCAAATTTAATCCATCTGGCCCAGGAGCTTTGTTACTGTCACAATTTAATGTCTCTCAAATTTCTTCCTCCGAAAACTCTTTCTCTAAAAGAAGACTTTGCTCCAAGGAAATTCTAGAAAAATCAGCCCTATCTTTCACTTCCAATATAGACCTAAAATTAAAGATTCTGAAAAGTGATCCCTGACAATGGCCTTGATAACAGTGGGGTCTTGGATAATCTTTCCTTTTACATTAGAGCATTCATAGCATTTCTCTTTCTCCTAACTGAAGCACAGTATGGAAAATCTGGCGTTGCGATCCCCGTCTTCTACCCATTTCGATCTGGAATTTTGGTACCAAATCTACTCCTCTATCTTATAATTCTCCATAATTCTATCGAAGGGTATTCAACTCTGCTGCTTTTTCACTATCACTTACATCTTGCAACTGCTGGACCTCCTCTAATTTGTGAATATTCCTTTCTAATTCTGTAATCGATTCCTGGAAACTGATATCTCTTCCCAGCCCAATTTTTAATGGCTAGTTTGGTTCTTTTCAGGATACTCAAAATTCCAGCTTTTCTCTGATTTTTCTTGCAGTCTTGAATGGAAAAACTAACCAGATCCTCAAAGCCATCCTCATCCATCAAATAATTAAAGAGTCTAAAAGGTTTTTTTACCCCAATTTACTCCTCCATTCTGAAGAATTATAGCATTATGATCTGACACTGACCTGGGAAGTAAAGATTGAGCGATTTTGGAAAAGCAGCCAAGAAGTAGGATCAACCAAAAACCTATCCAGTCTTACAAAAGTGGGGATATCTTGATTATTGCACCATGTGAACCTACCCCCATTGAAAGGTAGATCAATTAACCCTGTTTGTTGAATAAAATGTCTTAAGATCCCCATAGAATTTTTGTTGAGATCTTCCTACCTTCTCTTCTTCTGACAAGTAAACATTGAAGTCCCCTCCCACGCAAAAAGGAAGATTTTGTCCTTTCAGGAATGTGCACAACTCTTCAAAAAAATTAGCTTTCTTATCCTCCACTAAAGGTCCATAAACATTAATGAAGCCACATCTAAATTGATTAGATCGAAATTTCCCTAAAATAGCAATAAATCTTCTACTAATGTACTTATTTTCCAGCTCGAACGTGTTGTCATCCCAACAGCAGAGTAAACCTCCTGATGAACCAACCACTGGTGATTCTATAAACCCATGAAGATTATTCATCCCACTCCTAAGAAAAGATCTATTTATCTTCACAGATTTAGTTTCTTGCATCCAAAGAAATGAAGGAGAATTCTTAGCCACCAATCTTTGAACAGCCCTCTGTTTCTCCTTTCTTCCCAAACCCCTAACATTCCATGAAATAATTATAAACTGTCTTCATAATTAATTGATCAGTAATTTGATTACCCCATAATAAAAACACCTTAATTGACGAAATTCATGTCTTTCTCCAAGTTGATAATTTTTTCCAAAAAAGTTGTCTTCCCTTGCTTAAAAGATACCCCCAGTAGCTTACTAATTTCCCAAGTACCTAAGGCTTCCTCCAAGAGATCCGAAAAGGCTGAAGATGATACTGTTTTGATACTAAATTGATCTAATGCTTCCCTTAACAGTAGTCTTCTGGCTCTTTTGTTCAACGAATTGGATTTGAAACCATAACTATCTCTTTCTAAAAACCATCCTTCAATCTCATTATCCAAGCTCCTGTCAAATGAAAGTCCTTCAATAGGTTCCACACAGCCTTGATTGTTCGAATCTGCTACCAATTTAACTGTTTGAACTGAACTTAAGGCAGATCATTTTCCTTCTGACTTCCAAGGACTCCTTCTGTTTCGGATATAAAGTTTTGGTCATTCCCAAACCAAAATTCTCTCCCTAGACCTTTTGTAAACCCTTTTATAGCATAATCTTCTCCTCTCCAACGGTTCACTCTTTGTAGATAACGAACTTTTAGACCGATAAAACGATATGTCCCTTGAATTTCTTTCTGTAAATTCTGTATTAGACTCTATCAACATTAATTCAGCTTCTTGATCCTCAATTCTAGCACAATCAGTCGAACGGGTATTTGGATTCTCTCCCTTATCTTCTTCCTCTTTACTGCCAGACACAGGTAGAATAATTTTCTGTTCCATTTCCCGAATTTTAAGTTGATTTTTAGAACTCTCTTTTCTTTTTTTCAATTCCCATAATCTTTAAATTAAAGGCTGGCCCAGCTGGATAGAGTCTCAAAAGGGGAGACATGGGCTCACTGTCACTTTCGGTATAGGCTTCTTCATTTTCCAGCAAATTGGAATTTTTCCTAATACCTAACCCTTCAAAGTTTTCTGCTGATTTTCTCCCAGAAACCAGAATATCTGACAGACTTCCTTTATTATGTTCCCCAGCAATCTCTTGTTGCCTCGACTTTAACTCTCCATAGCTGTCATCAAAGTCTGCAACTCCAGTACCATCCATATACTTGTCAACTCTGTGCCGAGTTCCTTTGTCAGGCTAAACATTTTTTTCAAACTTTTCTGCTGCCCAACCAAACATCTCTACTGCCCGATCTTCCTCCTTCTCTGACGCTGCACCCTTAGCAGATCTATCCTCCGACTCCATCTCTGAATACAATTCTGAAGCTACAGATGATTTTTTAAAAAACAAACCCTATCTTTATCTTTACCTTATATGATCTCCCATAAGATCCTATTGTGATAGCTTCAGGAACGTCAAAGGGGCTCGCCACCCTCAACAGCAACCTTGCCACCGCCATATCTTCTCTTTTCACCGTAGATTCATGAATACACATCAGCTTCCCTCACCTCTGAACAAGCTTCTCCAAAAAAAGAAACATTCCAACACAACATAGGAACACCATCAAGTTCCACCGAACAAAAGGCCAATGGAACTCCCTCTTCACTCAAAAGAGGTTCAAGCCAATCAAACCAAAAATAAATAAATTCTCTTTCTTATTCGACCACACCTCATTAAGCTCTTCAATCGAACCGAAAGTCACCAGGCAGGATTTCCAAGCGTAGCCCCAGCTGGCAATCTTTACCTTAATCCCATCACTGGCCAAACCCTTTTGAACCAGTTCTAAATCGAATAAAGGTTTGATAATTCCTGTTAAAGATCTTCTAACCCAGTCAGATTCATCCGAAGGGATGTGTATCTCCCATACATTTCTCATCCCAGGAGCCTTTCGAGAACATTCTCTTTGGTCCTTTAACACCATTGCATCCCTACCATTCAAAACCAAGGCATCCTTGTATGATCTTCCATCTCTCAAGTTGCTCAAAGATAAATCTCCCACTCTTTTCATCCTATATTCTCCCCTGTTTAACTCCTTTTTCCCTGTCTTGGGTCTGCTGGAATCAGCATTCCTATACCTATAGCTTTGGTATTTCGCAGCCCCTACAGTGACTCTCTTCCCATCAATCCACAGTCCATTGATGTTTTCAATCGCCTTCTTTAAGCCTTTCTCCTTCTCAAATTGAACAAAAGCGAACGTTTGATTCCTATACTTAGAATTTTTTGAAACACTCAGAATGTAAACCCTCACTACTTTTCCCTGATGTTGGAAAAGTTCTCTAATTGTTCTCCTAGATACCCTCTTACTTAAGTTATCCACAAACGCTGTCCATTCCTCGCCGGAGGAAGGATGACTTACCTGATCTATTTTTTCTCTCACCCAACCACTCTCTCTCTCTTGACCGTTCTCTCTCATCTTTTTTTTTTATGCACCTACCTTTTTGTTGTTTATGATTGAATCAGATTCATAGTTGCTTTTGTATCGTTTGGTTTGCTAAGTTGCTAATTATGGTTTCTTACTAGTAAGGATGGAAGACTGCCAACATGTACATTCAAAGATTATGATCATCATACATCAAGAACAAACCCCACTCAAGAAAAGGTGCAATAGACACATTGGAAATAGGTAGATAATTGATGCAGATAATGGAACTGTCAAGAATACTCTGGGATTTGTGTGATAAAGGACCAATACAAACGGCTTTTAAACTAGATGTAATTAACTCTCATTTTAAGATTCTTTAGGTTAGAGCTTATATTGTTCATTTTCTATTTTCCTAGAACCTTAAGTGTTAAGGCCACTTTGGTAATTCTCGGATTTGTTAGAATTCAACAACCCAAAGCATTAAATATTCCCCATTTGTTATGAAACATATGAGAACCCGATAACTTGACTTGATGCAATTCATGTGTCTTTGTCTTTAAGCATAATAACAAAAATGCAAACCTGTCTTGACTTGAGCAGTCAAATTGGTTTCTCCAAGGGATTGTTGAGCTTTAGGCAAGCACAAACTTGTATACTCATCGTCAACTGTTGAAAGTTTATGCTTAGATGAGACTCGTTGGTAGGCTTCCAAATTACCTGTCAGAACCCAATTTTAAGGGTCAAACTTGGAACATTGATAATTTCTCAATGGAAAAAGAATAGGGGGGAGAGAGAGGGGGGATGGTGAGGGAGGAAGAAAGAAATGTCACATAAAGAAGGTATACATGCATATTTGATTGTCAATACTACCATGTTTTGCAAGACCAAAGGAAAATACATCATATTTTATATATCAATTATTATGATTCGAACATTTAACCCTCTCCATTACAAACTAAACATCCATTTTTCTTTTTTAAGATATCCCAAAAAATTGTCATTTTTATTTATTTGAACTAGAATGATCACTGGACAAGCATACTAAAGAATTTGAAAGGTGATACTACAAAAAGATTAAATTTCTTTAGATAAGTTGGAACATTTTGCCAACTATGGATGCCATTTTCATGGAGTAAAAACGCAAATTTCTAGATAAGATTAGATAACAATCCGAATCAAGAAGAGCTGAGAATTAGAGAGAGCAGCAAAATTAGGCCGAAAGAAATTGCAAATTTGTTTGCTACAATATCAAGCAAATATTAAGGCTTGTCTAGTTATTATTATTAAGCTCATTTTTCTATATCAAGTGCTCCTACTTATGACATTAAAGTCAATTCAGCCATTGGAAATAACTTTCAAGAAAAAGTTCTTTGTATTCCCTTAGAAACCAGATGACTAACCACCAGGATGAAATTTTATTATTCTCTATTGCTGCTCTCAATATGAAGACTTTAAATCCTTATTTAATATTGTGCTTCTGGTTTAAGCTATCATAATACTTGAATTATAAAAGACCTACAAATCATAACATCAACTCCTGAATTTTCCTTTGACACCTTTCTCGTTGCATGCAGAAAATGATCCTAAATCTTAAAACCTGTAAGTATTGAATAGTTTATATGGGAAACATAGACCTAAATATTTTATTATTTCTTATAAAAAAAGAAAAGAAATATTTTATTATATATTTCTCAACAAATCATCTTTTACACAACCGAATGTACTTAAAACAACCATTCATTTCTTTCTCCCAAATCAACAAAGACTTCATTAAACCAGCGGACAGGAAAGGGAGACAGATTTTCCACTCATGACTGGGAGAAGCAAAATGAAATTTAGATTTTCCCATATTTAAAATATATAATATATGCGAATTCGGAAAATCATAATATTACATTAACTATTTTACTTTTAAAGTGTAGCCTTTGACAAATTGAGACTATGCCTAAGAACAAAATAGGAAGGCTAGTGCAGTTGTTGGCTATAAGAAATATGAAATTGTGTAGATTCAAGAAATGTGTAAGCTGACAGAAGCAAACACACATTCAAGTGATGAAATCCATAAATTGTGAAAATTGCTAGAACTAGGTTCATTTTAGTTAGAATTCCCCCCAGGAATTCATTCCATTAATCATGATCATGCAATGACCCATGTAAGTGGATTAAGCACCGATTACTCAACAGACCAAAACAAGCTACTCAAAAGTAATCAAAGTTATCCAGCTGTAAATAATTTAGCTTACTGCATTCCTCAACGTGCCCCAATGAAGCTACCTGAAGTAACTAAATATCAAAGTGCTCTTTTGCATCCTAGAAGAAAATTTTAACTCATGGCATAACTTTGTTGATCCATACTAGATCATAGAATAATAAGAAGCCAGATCAAGGCTCAAAATGGCAAAAAATTGCTTCAAAAATATATTCCAGCTGTAAATATGTATTTATAGCTAACACCACCTTAACCCTGGACTGCTTTATATTATAACTATATAACAGAAATTTCCTACTAAAAATGATTAAAGACCAAATGAAACAAGCACTAGTCTTGAGTCCATATTAATGAACATACATACCATTCATGATAGAATTCCAAAGCTCCAGCTGATCAGACTGAGACATGTTCATAACATTCTTGCAATTTCCATTCATTATGTATGCTGCCTGTTGGCATAATAGAACACTGTTACAGATGAACAGTGACAAAACATATTTTAATTATCCAATTCAAATGAAGATTTGTTACAAATAGAGACTAATCTGAGAGGAGTATACAAAAGCAACTAAGTGGCTATGCATATGGACAATCAAGATACGCCAAGTTAAAAGAGAGAGAAAGCAAGCATGGTGAGAAACATCAAAATCCAGCATTTAAGGAATTTTGATTTACTTTGTTCTGTACTTCTTTTACGCTTTTTCCTTTTTAAAACCAAAATATGCATCTTACAAAATAACCAAAAAAAGCATCTTAAAAATATAACAGAAAGTGCCAAACTCTAGAATCGCAAAAGATGCCAGGATGACCTTTTCAACTTTTAGATGTTGCCTTTTTATCATTAGCTTACAAAGGATATAATGAAGAAAAATATCATAATTTTAACTTACTTTTCATTTTTCAACTATACAAAGCAATGAATGAGAATAAAATTGCGCATATACAACAATATAATACCTAGTAAAATTGTAAGCATTTTGACCAATAGTAGCAGTGAGTTTCCCATGAAAATGGCGTTATCAATTTCTAGGACATCTGTACTAACCTCTTTCAATGAATTTATAAAGCTCCACTTTACACAATCTTCCCCTTCACACGGTATCAATACATTTCCGGGAAATCCTCTAAAATGGACCTGTAGTCAGAAAGATTAAAACCTTCAATTGATAACTAATTAATGGGGTAAAAAGTAAGAAATTAATTACGCATAAGAACCTATATCCTAAAAAACATTCCGGTCCTACGAATTACCCGCAGATAAATTTTTTTCCCATCTCTTGAATCTCCCCCGCCCCTTTCTTAATGTTTATTATTTTTGGGGTAGGTTTAAATCATGCATCAAAGTTCAAGAAGCAAGAGTAGTTCAATAATCCTTTTATGTAGTAGGTAAAGAAACAATGATTCAGCATTGCTATAGAAGGGAAATATATTCATAGGCAACCTAGAACAGAAAAGCATTCACTAATTTATATTATGATAAAACATTAGTTAAAGGGAACCTCAACCTACAGTGATATTCCAAGGCCTTTCAGGCTCGGGGCAAAGAAGATCGAAAAGAACTCCAGTTGGTATGTACCTGCAACAAGAACAGCTTTCGGATTTCGGGTTTCAAATGTATTTGAATAATTAAACAATACAAAACAAAATTCAAAGCAAGTAAGTTTAGAGAAAGAAAAACCATTTGAGAGGGAGGCCATTGTAATCGAACCAAATGGTATCAACCCCGGGAGGGAGTGTGCTGCTAAAATAAGGCTTAATCAAAGGCGCTAACAGCGGCAGGTATCCGATCCGCGGAGCTAAGATCTGAAATGGTTTAGAATTAGCAAAGCAAAGGTAGAAAGAGAAAGGAGAAAGACACAAGAACAATAGTTGACCAGAGCAGGAGGAGGAGGGGGCAGAGCGGTGACTTGGGATTCGTGGAGATGGATCTGAAGAGGAATTGCTCCTTCCCATACAAACTTTTGTGCTTCCATTGAGCTTTCCGAATTCGGAATGGAGGATTGAAAAGGCGACGCCACCGACGACGGTGGCAGGGTTAAAAGAAGGGTTGGGAGGAGATGCGCTCTGTTTTGACAGAGAAAAAGAGATACGATAAACTACGTTAAACTCTCTAATCACGGAACATGGTTTGCGTTGCGTTCCGAATAAGTTCTTGTATAGCATTGTTTATTAAAAATGGTTTTGAGATCAAAGTAGTTTTGGAATTATAAAAATAAATAATTTTTGAAGGAAAAATATATTGGAAAAGTGTTTTTAATCAAAATATAAAAAAATAAAGTTTATGTATTAAAATGAAATAAAAATGATAGTGTAAGTGTTAACGTATAATTTACCCTTTCAATATTTACATAATAAGATAATTTTAATTAGTGAAGTGTTTCGTTACATCACTAAGTACATCACTTTAGTGATATATTACGATGTGCGTTGTAGACTATATATATATATATATATATATATATATATATATAACTCAATGATGATGATGGATAGAGTTGGGAGAAATAGTTAATTATTTATAAAATAAAATTAATATTAAGTTTGTGTATATCTTTAATTAATAATTTCTAATTATTTCATTTAAATAATATAAAATTTATGAAATAATAAAAGTAGATTTTTTTAATAATATTAATTATCATTTGAAAATATTTTAATAATTTGATAAGGGCCAGTTCGGTATAGTTTTTGAAAAGTAATTTTTAAAAGTGTAAACGAATTTTTAAAATTGTTGTACAAAAGTGTAGTTTAAAATTTAATTGTTTGAGATTATAGTTAAAAGTGAATTTGAAAAGATAAAATTTTCATTATAGACATTAAGTTGTAAATTAAAAATATAGCAGTTATATTACATTTACACTTATATATGAATCATATATTTTTAAACTATTATAAATTCAAAAAATATTATAATCAATTTAAATTATAACAAAAATATAAAAACTATAAATAAAAATTATAATTATAATTAAAATAAATTTTATATAACTCACTATTAATATTTTAATATATAAATTCTAAATTTATTTATTTTTCAAATAATCAAAATAAATTATTAAAAGTAATAAATTATTTTTTAAAGATGTTAGTATTAAATTATTAAAATAAAATGTAAATACATAATTGAGTGAAACCTGTTATACTCTAATTTTGTCTGGGTAACTCAATTCAAATCGAAGAAGACTAGTTTAAAGTGATAAGCATTAGGGTGATGGAAAGTTCGGCTATGGGTTCAAATATTTGCTTATGCTGGCCAAATTGGCCCATTACGGTACCTGCATAGATAATTTAGCCGATTAGGGCACCCAAACATTTAATTTGGGATCTACGGTAAATTGAACAGTCCCCATGGAACTCGTCACACCGGCGTGACTAGTTTCATGGGATATAATTTTTTAATGGGTCGTGTCAGGTGGGTCCCATAGTCAGAATAAAAAAATAGTCCTAATAAAAAATATTTTTTTATTTTGTAAATTTTTAAAACAAAATTAAAAAAAGCGTCACGAGTTCCAACATGTATAATTTTCAAATTTTTAACCGTTGGATTGATTGTTGTTAAACTCCTCATCACTAAACCCAAACATTTAATTTGGGATCTACGGTAAATTGAACAGTCCCCATGGAACTCGTTACGCTGGTGTGACGAGTTCCAATGGGAAAAAATAGGTCTTCCCTTTAAGTTGTGCACATCATCTTCAATCTCTTACATTAGACACTCCTTTCATCTTCAATATCCTACGCAAAAAACTCCTTTCATCTAACCAAAAACATTTCAAACAATGAGCAACAAATTCTTCACAGTTGTCCATTAGAATGGCGAAATTCTACAAACTGATGTTGGTGTTGTGTTTAAGTCAGACAGGCCGGTAAATATGATGTTCCCTGTAGATGTATCGTATCGCCAAATGAAGCAAAAAATTGAGAGAAAACTTGGAGCTTTTGATTCATGTTTAAGTTATCGACACCTGATCTCCTCAAATCCAATGACATATGGAAAAATTCAGCTTGATGATGATGACGATGTTGCTGTTATGGTTGGACTTCATCAATCATCAGATAATAATATGGTGGAGATGTATGTCAAAACGACGAATGCAACTGATATTCTGACGTCATCAGTACCAGCTCAAAGAACAGAAGAAGCAGGACCCTCTCAACCCCATGGAAGTTATGATGATGAGAACCTTATTAGACGGTTCGGAGAAAGCCTTGCTGAATTTAGCGAGGATGGTGAAGACATTATTCCATTGGTAGACGATGATGACACAACATTAGTTGATGATTGATATTATTGAGGCTGCTTCAGAGGGACAAGGTTTGGATGTTGAGGCGGATGTATGGGAGGCAGTTGTTTCACGATGTTAAGGATTGTAGAATGCTCCAAATGTTTGGGGAAAGATAGACCCTGAACTTGAATTCAATCATCATGATTTACCTCGGTATCATCATGCAGTTGCAATGCATGACATTAACTATGATGCTATGCGAAATCATGCAGTTTTTTTCTAATTTGTTAAAAATTTCTACAAGTTCCATATATTTTTTTCAAATTTAATAATAATTTGTGTTAGTTTCATATTATTTTTAACTTCAAAATTTTTAAAATTTTATTTTTTTCAATTTTATTAATTACAGTAAAATCAATGAAATTTAAACAATTCTAAAGTTTTTATAATTTTGCAAAAGTACACTTTATTTAATTATAATATAAAAACAAATTTATTACTTAAAATTAATTTTTGATACAATTAAATATTGACTACAAAAACTTAAATAAACAAATTTATTACTTATATTTGCGCAATTCTTGCCGATGTCGAGGCGTGGTAGAATGGTAAAGACGTGGTACTCGTCGATTTCGTCTTTGCCGTCCACTTTCTTTATTTTCTTCTTATTCCAGTTCCGATGTTTCGAACACTACTCCACCACTTTGATATACATCTTCGGGTGAAAACAATGGAGTACTCAAGGTATTTGATGTCATCATTGACGTCATCGCCTTAAATTGAGATTGTCTGTGATGAAGAAGATGATCCCATGGACCTCTTTCTTTCAGTTCTGAGGAAAATTATTGTAAAGGTGGCACTTGATTCCACTGACTTCCTTCCCATGTCTCTCGACTCTCCATCGATGGTTGATATGCACCATATCTACTATAATTTTCTTGTGATGGATAATAACTGGCGGAAGCATAAGAGGAAGATGTTGACGAAGATGATGATTTTCCCCATATTTTTCCTTCATTATTTCTCACTCGGACCGCTCCTCCGGCGTTGTCAAGTATGGTTTCCCATTTACTTCATAATTTTGGAGGTAGGGAGAAACATTGAAATCAAAATCTTTGGGTTGTACCTCGGAACGATTAGGCAATCGTAAATGTATATTTTGCCAATCATATATGAATGTAGCATGCTTCCTCGGCTAATCTTCGTTATGCTTCCCATGTGCATCTACTTTATGCAAATCGTCAATGTTATATATTGACATTTGTATCGGTTGGTGAAACCCAAATTGTCGCAAAACTCTATTGACGACATGGATCTCAACAATTGCGAAATGGAGCAATGGTGTTATGGCACACCATGTGTCTGGTCCTTCAAAGAACATTGGCGGTAGACACCGTTGGATATCCGACTCATAATAAGACATCCAATTAAACTGTCAAAAGTATTATGTTAGTATAATTAAACAATTAATATTACAATTTAAAATTTAATGTAAAAATACAAAAATTTACCGCATGTCTATCGGTGATATCAATTCTCATCCGAATATCTACTTTGGTTGCACCCGACAACTTTGTATTGATTATTCGGTGTTGCCATCTAAAAAATTATGTTATTTATTGTCATTTTCAAAACATTTAAATAAATATTATAAAATATAAAAACTTTAAATATATGAATTTACCTTGTGGCGAGAGGAAACTCCATAGGAGCGAATGTAATAGGCGTCATAAACAGGAGACGATACCACGCCCATGATTGGAGAAAAACTAAACAACCCGCTACATCCGCTTTTTTCCTCTAACGACTACGGTCGCCTTACATAGTTCACGATACAAAAATGCCAAAATTGTAGAACCCCAACTATATTGGCGACGTACAATAAAATCCTCCATTACTGAAAGATATTGGGTGTGCACCAAATTGACTGATTTATCTGATAGCAAGATCCCTCCAATTAACGTTAAAAGATATGCTCGAGCTGCATATATCACCTCTTGCTCCTTTGATTGTTTATCTACTCTAAATTGTCTTTCCAACCACGTCATCCGTACCCGTAACCCATCAATGACATCGGTTGGAGCCTCCTTTCCCAATAAATTTGAAATAACATTATTTACCTTATAAGTGTTGCGAAGTACCAATGGCATACCATTAATCAGAACGCCAAGTTGATACGTGACATCTTCCAAAGTTATCGTCACTTCACCACAAGGTAAATGAAACGTCGGGCCTCCAACGCTCAATCAACGACGATACCAGTGCCGACATCACCTTAAATCTGTGAAGAAATGTCGCTCCATATAATTTGGATTGTGAAAGATATATCACCATCTGCTGATGTGTCTCTTCATTCGTCATTCCTCGATGACGAATGGTTCGTTCTTCTTGCTACAATTTCAAAATAAATTATTTAATACAATTACATAAAATAATTATTATTAATACTATAATTTTGTCAAAACTAAAATGAAATAAAACAAATTAAACTTACCGTTGTCAACTCGATCGACGAAATATAAACTTCATCAAGACGTAACATTTCATCTCTTGATTCCATTTCAACACAAATTCTTCAACATGAAAGTTTTTGCTCTCGGTAGAATGTTTGATTACAAGTGAAAAATCTATCCAACCCAAACCTCTATTTATACTACTCTACCCAACGACTAGTTTTTTCGTCACACCGGCGAGACGAGTTCCATTGAAATTTAAAAAAAAATATCGACTGTTTAACAATGGTAAAAAAGTTAAAAATTATACCCATTGGAACTCGTCACGCCTGGCCATAAAATATTATTTTTTTAAATTTTGTTTTAAAAAAGTACAAAATAAAAAATATTTTTTAATTGGGAATAAATATGTTTTTTATTTTA